AAGGATCTTTGGTGTGAGTGTTGTCTTCTTGAAGTATTGTTTGTCTCTGATGAATTTACAATGCAAGTTCTTCAGCGATCACTGAACATACTCAGTGATGATCGCTAGAACTGAAAATACAGAGACACAAATACAACGTGAAAGGAAAAAGAGATTATCATCAAATTACTGAGAGAGAGGATCAACAAAAACTAATTATAGTTTTCCTTGTCTTTTGAGTCTCATATATTGAAATAAAGTTTCTATTTTGCTAATTTAAATTTGGAAAAGGGAAAATTGGGAAAGAAGGAAGCACGATCTTAATCCAAAATTTATCTTTTTATCATTTATATTTTGTATTCGGGGTTTTGGTTTTTATGTTCCCCTCATTGTATTTGTTTTATTATAATTAATAAAAATCAACATGGGGATGAGATACTTAGCTTGAATAGGTTCTAAACTCTTTAAAAAATTGCATGTTTCATTGGCTTAAAAAAATAGGGTTAGGGGCATATTTTATTATTTTCTCACACGGCATCAAAAATCTTAGGATCAGCCCTGCTTCAAAGTCTAGAAAGAATCTATAATCATAACTCTGAGTCACAAGAATTTTGACTTCTTATAACTCAGAAACGTAACTCTGAACTTCAACTCTGAAGAAAGTTTAGAGTTGTATTCTAAGTCTGGAAATAAACCATGGAACTAAGTCTGGAACAAAACAATTCAAAATAATGTTGTAAGTTTGATAAATAACCAATATCTGATTACTTCATGTTGGTGATTTGTATCACTAATGTCATTTAAGTGTAATGAGATTAATTTGTTGACCAATGTAATCATGATAAATATCGAACAAGTAAGGAAGGTGCGGAGTGCATACATGTTTGAGTTTATTTTGATTTAGGGGCGAAGCCCCTAAATGACGGGGGTTCAGGGCAGCGCCCCCAATGGCAGGGTCCAAGGTGCAGAGCCCCTGATTTTATTCGGGTAATATTGCTTTGTGAAAAATGCTTCAAAAATCCGAATTTGAAATTTTAAACCCGGTTTTGACTCTGTTTTGAAAACTCGGTTTTTTAACTGCCGTATGGCAGTTTCCGACCGTTTGAGGGAAAAGCTACGATTTCGTCATTGGATTTTCGGAACACAAATTTGATAACACGGGAAAACTCTCTGTTCGGGAAAAACCACTAAATTTTATCCGATTGATATTTCGATTGTACCATCGAAATACTTCAATCTGAAAGTGATACATGACTTTTAGTGGAATCCAAGTAATCGAAAACCATAAATTCATACACTTCACAGCTCAGACTTCATTTGAATTCCTACATTCATACTTATAAGTCTGAATTACACTTTACTTTCAGACTTCACAGGTCAGGCTTCATTTGAATTCCTACTTTCATACTTAGAAGTCTGGAGGCCACTTTAGAGTTAAATTCAGACTCACAACTCTGATTTATACAGACTTTCATACTTGTATGTCTTACAAGTCTAGAAGACAACTCTAAATTTTAACTGAGGAAAAGGAGTTCAGACTTGTCCTCAGACTTTTATACTGGTATGTCTTATAAGTCTGGCAGACAACTCTGAATTTTAACTGAGGAAAAGGAGTTCAGACTTGTCCTCAGACTTTTATACTGGTATGTCTTATAAGTCTGGCAGACAACTCTGAATTTTAACTGAGGAAAAGGAGTTCAGACTTGTTCTCAAGCCTACAAAGAAACTCTAAAGCACAAGAACTCAGAGTTGTGTTGTTACGTTGGGAAAAAGTCTGTAGATATCAGACTTATAAGTCTGAGGAATGGAAATCCAGACTTTTGCTTATTTAAGAATTTGAAAAGAAATCCTTTTTCATACAGAAATCAGTTATGTTTTACAGGGACAAATGTCAATTAAATAGATTCATTTGAATCAGTAATGTAAATTGTGTCTACATACTTGTTTAGGCGGGAAATCCTTATAACCGTCGCACAATAAAACAACACGTGACAGCCAAGTTACTTATCTACTAGGTATATATATATATATATATATATATATATATATATATGTGTGTGTGTGTGTGTGTGTGTGTGTGTGTTTTGTCATCATACACTTCAGATATTTACCAAAGTTAAACTATGATGGTTCATCAATCCATTTGTTCTTTATATGACAATCTCATCTTTTTTAATTACCATAAAATACAACGATTCATGAATTTTTGGTTGTTGAGAGAGTCACTATTAAATGTCAAAGAACTTCATATTGAGTTTCTATATCTAGTAATATATCATAAAGAAAAAAACATCTCCCCTCCTGTCCTCTTTCCTTCTGTCCCTGATAAACTCCTCTTGAGAAAAATGGATGGTCGTCTCACTTCTTTCTCTGTCCATGAGGTTAGGATCTCCATCCGCCCTAATGAGCCAGATGTCGAGTGGCATCATATGATCTGGTTCTCTCAAAACATCCCCAGACATGCATTCATTATTTGGGTCGCCCTCAAACATGTCTTGTGTTTTCTGTCTTAACGGGCCTGATTCTCATCAGCATCTATTTTTTGAGTGCCCGTTTCTTAATCAGGTTTGGAATGGCCTTAAGCCAAAGCTGAACCTCCCTCTTATTCCAGATAACTGGACTCATATTATCAGTATGTTCCACCAAGCCACCAAAGGCAAGACCGTTTGGTCTATCGTTCGACGCTTAGTGCTTGTTGAAACTGTCTACCACCTCTGGCAGGAAAGAAATAATTGCATATTCAAGAATAAGAGAAGATCCTCTGACATGATGGTCAAGACCATCTCTGATGATGTCCAGTCCAGGCTGATTGGTCTTATCATGAAGCCTTCCCCTATTGTTGTCCGTGCTAAGCTTGTCTGGAACCTTTCCTAGTGGTTGGTTCATTTCCTCTCCTCGACCCCCTTTGAGCTTTGCTTCTTTCTGGAGGTTGCTTCGATTTAGCTTCCTCCTGAGTGTTGTCCTTGGTTTTGCTTCCTGTTTTTTATAAAAAAGTTTAATAAATCCAAAAAGTTTGTCTTTACTTTTTTTTCTTGATTGGAGGGGCCGCCCCCCTCTATATCGGAAAAAAAACATCATTATCCACTAAAACCTCCATCAATTTTAATCGACTACAATCCATATCAAAACTAACCGTTATCATCTCAACTTTGAAAACATCATTTTACAAAGACTTCCAAATAATATTCTTTAATAACCTTAATGACATTTAAAATTGTCACCTTACCAACAACAAACAACGAAAACCTAATAAAATTAACCACCACTCTCTATTTTTTTACCAAAAAAATTGAAAACCTTAATACAAAATGTTCAAACTAGAAGGACCAAAGTGTAAAAGTTACAAAAGTACAAGGGGTCTAATGGGAAATAAATCCAAAGTGTGACGCACTACAAAACTTTCTCCAGACCCAAAACACACAAGCCCAGAGCACTCCTGCATGACCGACTTGTACATTATGCATAAAAGGCTTGTACATTTTCATATAGTAGCAAATCCAATCTCTACATGATCCATTATAAGTAGTCTTCCATCTCTTGAAGATTCATCGACTCCCATAAAATTAAATGAAAATGAAAGCAGCCTTTTCTTCATTGGATCTTGATCATCTTCTTGTCCATGTGGGTTTGCTTGTAGTTACCATTTTAGCCTTGTATTTCTTGAATATCTTATGGTTGAAACCTCAGAGAGTGAGATGGATTCTTCAAAGGCAAGGAATCATAGGGCCAAAACCGTCTTTTCTGTATGGGAATGTGCCTGAGATGCAGAAAATCCAGTCTGCCACAATCGCCATGAAAGCTTCAAGCTCAAGCTCCAGTCATGGAGATTTCGTTGGTGATGATTACACGTGTACCCTCTTCCCATACTTTGAACAATGGAGGAAACAATACGGTATGTTACACCTTATCATCCGACTAGTCGCATAAATTTTCTTTTAGTTTTAAAAAGTATTATATTTAGATAATAAATTTAATCCAATATAATGGTTTTATAAAAGTAAAGGACAATTGTTGATGATTTGTGTTTGTATCTAATAACATATATATATATAGAGAGAGAGAGATTGTTTCAAATACAACTCATCGCATTTGTACAACTAATGCAACTCAATAAATTGATATATTTATGGAAATGATGAAAGTTTATTTATTATGATTTGAATATTTATGTAACATGAATATAGTTCATTAATTATGATCAATACTTTATATTAGGAAACAATCAAAAATTCTATGAAATCACATATTAATCAAATGAAATGGACGGTTGAGATTGGATTGTATTGGTTGCACAAATGTCAAGGGTTGTATAATAATCAACCTCTATATATATATATATATATATATATATATATATATTAGAAGGATACTCGCATAATACAGCGAGATACATCTCGATTTTAATGTTCTATTTTATTTTTTGTCTATGTCGATGTTATAATACAATTTTATATGTTTTTAAAAAAATAATAATAATTTTATTTTTGAATAAAATATAAATTTGAAAATATCATAAAAATTTGAAAAAAATATATCAAT